CTTATTCCACCTGTCTAAATTCAAACGTTTTAGTAACTAATTCAGTCAAGTGAAATAGCATTTAGGAAGTTAGGATTCTAATATGCATCCTTAATCGGAAGAAGTGTAGCTTCTGACTGACTAAATCATTTAGTATCGATTTAGGAAGGTGGAATAGCGTTTAGATGCTTCACTTCAATCGCACTGCAGGTAACATAATTAAATCGTATAAACATATGCCGTATCTTTGGAACAAAAACGATAAACTCAAACTCATTTATTCAGTCTAGGCTGTTACAAGCTCTTGTGAAAGTCAAACGCTACGCCATCGGTTCGTAAATCTACGGCGGGAGACCTTGTACTGAGAAGAACCGGCAAGAAACTCAGCAAGGGCTATTTTTTTCTCCCTGTTTTGTTTCATACAGAGTCGTCAATTGAAAGATGACATCAAAAATTGAAAACATGTGTTGATGTCATCTTTCATCACATTAATATTATTAATTAATAAAAGTTAAGTATAGCTAGGTACTATTTTTAAATTAAGAAGTGGAGATTAAACAATTTTTAACCAAATTAGCAAAGTAATACAACTTAGTCTATTATATTAAGCCCAAGGTGCCTTATCATTCATGAAATATTTAACAGTATAGTAACCTCTTTTAAGGAGACATGTTTTTATACACACTTTAAACTTATTATAAGGTATTATTTCTTTTGGTATTTTATTAAAGTAACATATACCATGACCCACAAATGAACCAAGAACCTGTTGCAGTCTCAACGGTGGCAATTTGAGTTTATCTTTATTTCTGGTATTGATATTATGTACATCATCGCGCCTCGTATATAAATTTATGTTTTGACGCACAAACAATATACAACTGTAAATGTATTGAGAGGCAACAGTCATTATACCTATTTCTTTAAATGTATCCCTAAGAGAAGTTCGAGATCCCAAACGATAAATAGCTCTTATAGCTCTTTTTTGAAGAATAAAAACTGTTTCAATGTCAGCGGCCGTGCCCCACAATAGAACGGCATACGACATAATGCTGTGAAAGTAGCTAAAGTATATTAGTGTCAACCTAGCAGTGTCGACATCTGTAAGCCGTCTTATTATATAGCAGTAGAACTAAGTTTACCGGCTAGTGTTGTAATGTGAGGTTTCCATTGAAGTTTGTTGTCTAGTGTTACGCCTAAGAAAACGGTTGTATCGACTAACATTAGTTTTTCACCATTTAGAATTATATCCCCCATTTGAGCAAGCTTTACATTCGGCAAAGTAAATTTCACACATTTAGTTTTTTTCGCATTAAGTTTAAGATTATTAGTAGAGAACCAGTGAAGTACTTTAGAAAGTGCATTGTTTACATCGTCAAATTTAGTTTTACACCTGCCAATGTTAAAAGGTATCATCCGCAAACAAAACAATATCACAAAAAAATTCCATAAAGAAAGGTACATCATTAATGTAAATTAAAAAAGAATTGGACCTACAATTGAACCTTGAGGAACGCCTATTTTCACAATAGATCCGGTTGATTTTGTACCGTTAATATCAACTGTTTGTGTCCTCTCTGTTAGATATGATTGCACTAATTTTTGTGCGGCATCTGTTATGCCGTAATGATTTAATTTCTGTAACAAAGTTTGATGATTAACGCAATCAAAGGCTTTAGATAAATCGCAAAAAACCCCAAGAGCATCCTGCGCCTTTTTCCAAGCATTAAATATATATTTTAGCATAGTGGCACCAGCATCAGTTGTGGAACGGTTTTTAGTGAAACCATACTGCGCTCTGTGTTAAAGTTTATTAATATTAAAATGAGTCAAAAATTGTTCTAACATTATTTTTTTAAAGATTTTACTCAATGCTGGTAATATAGATATTGGCCTATAGTTGCTAGGATCTTTACAATTTCCAGACTTAAATAAAGCTAGAATTTTACTGAATTTCATAAGATCAGGGAATACTCCCCGATCTATACATGAATTAAAAATATCAGCCCTAGCTGATTTACCTATAAGGGGCTATAGAATGTATAATATTCTTTACGACTTTGACAGATATACCCCATAAATCAGATGCATTTTTCATTTTAAATTAATGGAAAACTTTAATTATTTAAAGAGCTAACATGATTAAAATTACGAGCCCTTACCGCCAAATTATCGTAAGCGACATTCGCCAAATTATCGTAAGCGACACTTTTGTGGAAACTAATATTTTAAACCGTAACGGACCCATCTCTGTTGATATTTCCCTCCAAAAGAACACCGTAATAATATAATAGTGGGAAGAATAAGGGAAATATCAACAGAGATGGGTCCGTTACGGTTTAAAATATTAGTTTCCACAAAAAACGCATTTCGACAAAAGTGTCGCTTACGATAATTTGGCGAGTGTCGCTTACGATAATTTGGCGGTAAGGGCTCGATTAAATAATAAACCACACGGAGGTACATGTTTTTGTAACAGAGCTGTAGCAGTATCAGACGATGAGTTCAAGTTGGAAGTAGTTTCTACTGGTATGTTCATAAAGAATTTATCGAAAATATCTGCGACTGCATGTTTCGATTTTACGAGATTATTATTGATTTTAAAAACCATGCTATTTTCACGAGGCTTACCACTTTCGCGCTTATTGTCACCCCAAGTGGTCTTTATTTTATTATGAGATTTTTGGATTTTATCCCTAATAAAATTTGATTTTGCAGTATTACATATGCTGTTAAACAATTTGGAATATTTTCTAACATAGTTAATAAACTCAGGATCCTGGTTATATTCTTTGATTTTATAAAGCACATACAGCCTTGTTCTACTCTTATATGTATATACCACTTGTCGCCCAGTCACGGAACTGCAACCTCTGTGTTCATTTAATGGTTATCGGTCTGAATGTATATTGAAATTCATTATTTATTAAATCAAAAAGATTTTTGTACAAAATATCCGGATCATTATGCGTCCAAGGCATCAAAGGAAGTTTATGGCTAATATTATTTTTAAAATTATTAACATGCTCATTTTTTATAGGTCTACACTCTATTATGTTGATAAAAATAACATTAATAATATTAATTCACCCACGTTTTTCGTTTTTTACTTTATTTTATTTTTATTTAGCCAACGGTCAGGCCTACGAGAAGACAGATTTTTTGTTGCTTTGACAAGGCTGGAGCAATTTCGAAAAAGTCCGACTGAATTCGCCACGCGCTCGTAACTGACTGATTCAGTAACTAAATTAGTCAAGTGTAATCAGAAGCTTCCAATTAGCCTTCTTTTTAGGATCCTAACTAGGACGTCTGAATTTAGTCAGGTGGAATAAGCGCTTTAGGCTAGACATAAACTTGGGAGCACATTTCCATCACTGATAAAAGTGTGGAGGGACGTTCAGTTTTATATAAGACTATCTCTACCTATTTACACTATATTTATATTAATAAAAACGAGGCTTAAGGCCTCCGTTGTGATGATTTTACTGTGCTCTGCTTGGCAGTCTGCTTCTGACAACGTAGAATAAAAATAACTTTAATCTAAAAGACAATTAAAATTTTTGAAAATGTTATTTCAATAGTACTCAATCCTATTTAAATAATATGTAGTCGAATTATTGTGGTATAACAGTACTATTGTAGGTTTCTTCTATAAATCTAACATTATTCAATCAAAATCTACGTTAAAAATTCTGTTTTAGTCATAGATGGTTTCAGTATTTGGTATGCATTGGTGTCGAATCCGGCATGATTCTCTAAACTTAAAACTGACATCAATCTCTCCTTTTCATTCTATATAGAGAATGAAGTGGAGAGACGGATACACTGTTGTTAAATTTAAGTTCATAAAGAAGCCTTCCAAAATGGCCACGATTGTATAAGACTGAGACCATCTATGACTGAAACAGATATATTCAGCCACAAAGTTAAAAAACTCCGCAAATACTACAATAGTATTGTTATGGCAAAATAAATTGGTTAAATACTATTTAAATAGGACTGAGTACTATTGAATTAAGGTTTCGGAAAATTCGCCACGGTATACGATTCTTCTGGAATCGGAAAAAGTCGCCTCCTATTGAACCGATTAAATACTATGATTCACAATGTTTGATTCGATGATGAAGTAGAATTATTCAGATGGGCCATCCCTAATATGTGTCATGTGTGAATATGACATCATAGGGTGCGGCCAGAGTGCACTCAGATTCAGAGTCAGATTCAGATTCTGAAAATAAGCGCGAGAAATAAACAGTGTAGTCTAAGCAGATTGCCTGCTTTTTCTCGCGCTTTGTTTTCTGAGTCTGAATCTGAATCCGAATCAGGAGTGCAATCTGGCCGTACCCTTCGACTACACTGTTTATTTCTCGCGCTTGTTATCGAAATCTGAATCTGAATCTGAGTGCACTCTGGTCGCACCCTTAGGTTAGCAAGTGATCTGTGTCAAGTAAGCGGTGTTCATTACTTGCTTACTTAGATTAAAACATTTGTTTTAATCTAAGCTTGCTTAGTGGTGGTGATAAGTTGATTTAATGTATTATACTTCAAGACGTGGCTTAAAAGACTTGTATCCAAGCCATAAATTTGGAAAAAACCGTGACAATTGTGGTGACCACAAGACCAAGAAACCAAGGAACTTTTAAACTGGTGACCATGTGACCATCAATAAATAGTTTGTGCTGGTAACATTCACCACTGGACGAAATGGAGAATATCACGGCCGTAAAACTTAAAACAAAAAGTAATGTTCAAAACAACGTGATCTCTAAACTTGTTCGAATGTGATTCACGAGGATTCACAGCATTGCCGAGGTTGCTTTTAAATAATTTGTGATTTTATATTTTTCTGATGGTGTGGTGATCGATCGTTGAGTTAGTAAAAAGTAAAACAAGAAGTGTGCAAAAAAACGACTGTTATAATAATGGGCCTCGCTATAAAAAGATACGGTCGTTTTGTTCTCAATTAGTTAGTGCACAACATACTTATTTGGTTTGTTTACAGCAATCACTCTTTCAATAATATGGCTCTAAGTTATATGAGAACGTTAAGGATTACTAGAACTGTAACTATTATACACAGAAATCTAAAATCAGTTCCTGTGGCCCAAGCAAGCACAGTAATTAAACCAGTTCAATCTAAAAAAACTGAAGATAAATTTGTGTACTTAGAGGACCCAGACGTTTTTGGAACTCTATCGAAAAATTCAATGATTCCTGATAATGATGAATTTGAAGATGAAGGAGATATAAAAGAACAGGAGTTTTTAAGTAATTTACCAATGAAATCACGTAAGTTGACGATAAAACAATATTCAGATTTAATCAAACAATATCTATCACATAAAAGGTTAAAAGAAGCTTTAGATATTTTGGAAGTAAGAATGTTAACAGAGGACAGAGTGAAACCAGAAAATTACATATACAATATACTTATTGGAGCTTGTGCTGATGTTGGATATACAAAGAAAGCATTTAAATTATTCAATGATATGAAAAGACGGGCATTAAAACCTACTGGTGATACTTACACCTGTTTGTTCCATGCCTGTGCAAACAGCCCATGGCCTGAAGATGGTTTAAAATATGCAAATGCATTAAGAGAGTTAATTAATCAAAAAGGCATTGAACTGAATATCACAATATATAATTCCATGATTAAAGCTTTTGGGAGATGTGGAGATTTACCTGCTGCATTTAAAATTGTTGATGAAATGATTGCTAAGAAAATAAAAATCAGGGTACATACATACAACCACTTACTACATGCATGCATTTCAGATAAAAAAATTGGTCTGAGACATGCTTTGGTAGTTTGGAGAAAAATGTTAACCACAAGAGAAAAACCAAATTTATTTTCTTTCAATCTAATGTTAAAATGTGTACAGGATTGTAATTTAGGCACTAAAGCTGATATAGAAGAATTAATAAGCATTCTACAATCTAGTATTGCTATTACTGACAGCAGATCTTTACAAATCAGATCTGAAGTAAAATTATTAAATATGTCTAAACCTGAACTAATTAGTGAAAATTTAGTTTCATCTCCTAATGATTCAGAATCTAAAGTTATGAACAATAGTACTGTTAGTGGTACGAATAATTACTTAGAATTAGTAAGTGATAATACCATCACTATACTAGATAAGAATTCACAAAAAAAAATATCAATAAAAAAGGAAAGAATGTTACCTAATTTGCTTTCTAAATTGTTGCAAATGCAACAAGTACTTGCTTTAAAAGAAATACACACAGTACAAGATAGATTTGCAGTTATTGGTGGCCAAGAAGATTTCATCAAAGAAATGGAAGTTTATTCTGTCAAACCAGACATCAAAACTTTTACCCAAATGATTACACTACTTGATAACACAAGTGAAGCGGAAAACAAATTATTAGAAACAATGAAGACATTTAATATAAAAGCAGACATAGATTTTTATAACATTTTGATTAAAAAAAGATGTCTTAGGGGTGACTATGATGCTGCTTTTGTAAGTGACTGTTCATGATTTGAATGATAACAAAGTAATCCTAAAATATATTTATAAATATTGTGATAATTACAGGATGTAAAGACTATAATAGAGGGCGAAAATGCAGCTCGCAAAAAGTCCCATCCACTGAAGAAGAAACTGAGGCTGAAATTTAATGTAATGACTTATGGAGTGTTGGCAATGGCTTGTCAAACCAAGGACAGTGCTGAGAAATTACTAAATGAAATGAATGAAAATCAACTTAAGTTAGTGTAAACTAGTAATTATATCTGTTTTTTATTATATTAATAGCAGCCGCCTGACACTACATCCATGTTAATTTTGGTTTTTGAGAATTCCAAAGGATCCTAACATTTTCAAGGATAAAAAGTATCATAAATTTTAATCTAAGTAATAAACTAAATGCATGCAATGCATTTCACCAAATCGGTTCAGTAGTTTTTGTGTGATTGAGTAACAAACATATAAAATGTCACCATGGATGTTTTTTTCAGAGTTAATATAGAAATATTGGGAACACTTTTGAAGAAAGGTGCAATTAAATTAGACTTCGATTATGTTATTTTTATAATGAAAAGGGTAAAAGAAGAAAATTTGAATGTAAATGCAACATTTCTAAAACACTTGCAAACGCTATATCAAATCTGTAAAAGAAAAAATCAGGTTTGTATTTTTTTATAATTATATTCTGTGTAGAAATATTTTAAAAACTGTACTACAATTACCACTGAACTGAAATAGTTACCTTTTGAATATTCATTACAACTTAATATTAATTAGTTACAGGACACCCACATAGTAGATGCTGAAAGTAAAAAATCCTTCGAAAGAGCATTTAGAAAATTTTCCACCTTTTATCACTCTTGGTTGAATGAAGTAGATGTTGAAGGTGCAAAATCAGAACACCCATGGCAACAGTTTAGAGAAAATTATCCAGAAACAGTACAAAGATCTAATGTTGTAATTCGGGAACCCAAGAAATTCTACAAAAGAAATAGAAGATTTGTGAAATATGCACCAAGGGTATAAATAAATGGTTGTTTTTCATAATCAATATTTTATTGGATTTGCACACCTATCGATTTACATTCTAAATCTTGATGTGATGGAGTTTGCGGTTGAGTTCCTCAAATTTCAAAAGTTTGCGAATGAAAAAGTCACCATAGCGGTGCGCTACCTTTGTGTCGGCGATGTGAATCATGTCGTTATCAATATAGAAGTCCAACTGAAAAAAATAATACGAGTGTTATTTCTTGATCAGTTTTATAAGAAAAAAAAAATTTTTTTTTGCTTTTCAAAATTATCAGCCCAGGGCCTATGTTGCACATACAAAGATTAAAATAAGCCTGATTTGAAGGATAATATACTCTATCCCGTTCTTTAATTTTGGACACACTCTTCAGGAAATATGTCCTATTTCTGGTTAGAACATTACAAATTAAGGTACAGTAATAATTTCTCAGAATAATAAAAAAAGTAATTACTAAAAGATTCCTGAAACTACTAAGAGGATAAGTGGGCAGCACTGTATGACAGTACAGTCAGCAAGCAACACATGAAGTTACCACAGATTGTGAAGTTAAGTCTTCGTTTTGTTCTTGAAGCACAGCAGGTATATGAGGGCATTATATTTGTGCATGTGTGTGTAGCACAGTAGGCATGTGCACTGACCTCGGAGCCGCTCTTGAACTTGCCGTCGAGCCCGCTGGGCCCCTTGATCCTGAGGACGTTCTTCATCTTGTGCAAGCACAGCAGGTGTATGAGAGCGTTATATATCTGTGTATGTGTGTGTAGCACAGTAGGCATGTGCACTGACCTCGGAGCCGCTCTGGAACTTGCCGTCGAGCCTGCTGAGCCCCTTGGTCCAGACGACGTTCTTCATCTTGTGCTTGAAGCACAGCAGGTGTATGAGAGCGTTATATATCTGTGTATGTGTGTGTAGCACAGTAGGCATGTGCACTGACCTCGGAGCCGCTCTGGAACTTTCCGTCGAGCCCGCTGGGCCCCTTGGTCCAGACGACGTTCTTCATCTTGTGCTTGAAGCACAGCAGGTGTATGAGAGCGTTATATATCTGTGTATGTGTGTGTAGCACAGTAGGCATGTGCACTGACCTCGGAGCCGCTCTGGAACTTGCCGTCGAGCCCGCTGGGCCCCTTGGTCCAGACGACGTTCTTCATCTTGTGCTTGAAGCACAGCAGGTGTATGAGAGCGTTATATATCTGTGTATGTGTGTGTAGCACAGTAGGCATGTGCACTGACCTCGGAGCCGCTCTGGAACTTGCCGTCGAGCCCGCTGGGCCCCTTGGTCCAGACGACGTTCTTCATCTTGTGCTTGAAGCACAGCAGGTGTATGAGAGCGTCATATATCTGTGTATGTGTGTGTAGCACAGTAGGCATGTGCACTGACCTCGGAGCCGCTCTGGAACTTGCCGTCGAGCCCGCTGGGCCCCTTGGTCCAGACGACGTTCTTCATCTTGTGCTTGAAGCACAGCAGGTGTATGAGAGCGTTATATATCTGTGTATGTGTGTGTAGCACAGTAGGCATGTGCACTGACCTCGGAGCCGCTCTGGAACTTGCCGTCGAGCCCGCTGGGCCCCTTGGTCCAGACGACGTTCTTCATCTTGTGCTTGAAGCACAGCAGGTGTATGAGAGCGTTATATATCTGTGTATGTGTGTGTAGCACAGTAGGCATGTGCACTGACCTCGGAGCCGCTCTGGAACTTGCCGTCGAGCCCGCTGGGCCCCTTGGTCCAGACGACGTTCTTCATCTTGTGCTTGAAGCACAGCAGGTGTATGAGAGCGTTATATATCTGTGTATGTGTGTGTAGCACAGTAGGCATGTGCACTGACCTCGGAGCCGCTCTGGAACTTGCCGTCGAGCCCGCTGGGCCCCTTGGTCCAGACGACGTTCTTCATCTTGTGCTTGAAGCACAGCAGGTGTATGAGAGCGTTATATATCTGTGTATGTGTGTGTAGCACAGTAGGCATGTGCACTGACCTCGGAGCCGCTCTGGAACTTGCCGTCGAGCCCGCTGGGCCCCTTGGTCCAGACGACGTTCTTCATCTTGTGCTTGAAGCACAGCAGGTGTATGAGAGCGTTATATATCTGTGTATGTGTGTGTAGCACAGTAGGCATGTGCACTGACCTCGGAGCCGCTCTGGAACTTGCCGTCGAGCCCGCTGGGCCCCTTGGTCCAGACGACGTTCTTCATCTTGTGCTTGAAGCACAGCAGGTGTATGAGAGCGTTATATATCTGTGTATGTGTGTGTAGCACAGTAGGCATGTGCACTGACCTCGGAGCCGCTCTGGAACTTGCCGTCGAGCCCGCTGGGCCCCTTGGTCCAGACGACGTTCTTCATCTTGTGCTTGAAGCACAGCAGGTGTATGAGAGCGTTATATATCTGTGTATGTGTGTGTAGCACAGTAGGCATGTGCACTGACCTCGGAGCCGCTCTGGAACTTGCCGTCGAGCCCGCTGGGCCCCTTGGTCCAGACGACGTTCTTCATCTTGTGCTTGAAGCACAGCAGGTGTATGAGAGCGTTATATATCTGTGTATGTGTGTGTAGCACAGTAGGCATGTGCACTGACCTCGGAGCCGCTCTGGAACTTGCCGTCGAGCCCGCTGGGCCCCTTGGTCCAGACGACGTTCTTCATCTTGTGCTTGAAGCACAGCAAGTGTATAGCGAGCGCCGCGTGCTCTCGGGCTGCGTCTCGCTCACCGCCGCGCGCGGCTGACATGAATGCGGCCAGTTTGGCCAACGGCAATGTGGTGTACAGCTTTAAGTACGAACGGATGGTGGGCAGCATTTTCTGCTGACGGACCTGGGTGGCACATTGTTTTGGTACGTTAAAAGGGTGATAAACAAGCGTATGATGAGCTCGACGGCGCAGGTAGTTAGCGCGTTCGGCTGCAATCGTTGAAGTTAAGCAACTTTCGCAGTGGTCGGTCATTGGATGGGTGACCAAAAATCTTCTATCTCGAGTTCTTCCGTGCTTCGGAAGGCACGTTAGCTGTTGGTCCCGGCTTCATCTGCAGTCGTTAGCACCCGCCAATCCGCACTGGGCACGCGTGGTGGGTCATGGCCCATTCTCCTTATTCCCTCCATAGGCAAGGCTGGTGACCCTGCAGTGGGGACATTAATAGGTTGATGATGATGAAACAAGCGTATAACCCGCCTGATGATAAGGGTCCTTTTACACGGTGCAAGCAACATGTACATGTTGAGGAATTTGCGCCGGTTATATGCACTGAGAAAACGCCGTCGAGCTACTCGAGCATGTACCAGAGAAAGCGCAGACAGCGCAGCTAATCTGCAAGTCACTCGCGCATGTTACTTCTTGAGCAGGTTTTCAGCAGCAGGACGTGCGAAAGTGCTAATTCCGCATCCGTAACTTCTTTTTACGTAATTTTATTGAATCGTATTCCAGTAAATTTAATAGTTCTGGTAATATAACATTTTCAGCGGCTACCAGAGCACAGTAGTTGCGATACCAAAAATATTACTCCCACCGTTGCCTACCCTGACTCACCGACAGAAACACAACACCAGCAAAAGATATTGTTATTTTACTGTGGTCTTCTAAGGTAGAGGTTACATCCTTATACGAGCGCCGACTGCAAATGCAGCCGGTACCAACGGATTTACGTGCCTGCCGTCGCACGGCGGAGTTAAAATTTATAACTTTTTGGTCACCTATCCAAAGACCGATCATTGTGCAAGTTTTTTAATTTCTACAATCGCAAGTCGAATGCACTATCCACCTGCGCCATGGAGCTCCTCTCCGGTTGTTGAAGCAATATTAAAAATATAGAAAAGGTGTCAGGGACGTGATAATAATGTTGCTTTGTAGGCGTTCATGTTTTAAAGGCAAGTGAAATAAATTATATTCTTATTATATTAATACCCAGTGGCTGGGAAAATACTGGGCTCTAAAAGAAATAATGAAAAATAAAAACCAACCCATTACTCTTAAAAGAAGGACCATCAATCCCATGCGCATTCTCCCTTCCTAACTTATGGCTGTGAAACTTGGACGCTTAGTAGTTTTAAGAGACATAATGCAGGACTGCGCAAAACAGACAGTAAGGAGTGATTTTATTAGAAAAATAACAAATAGATATATAGTTGATGTGCTTGAGAGAATAGATAAAACAAAATGGAGATGGACACGTCACTTATTTCGCGAAAATGAGAAATGGGGTAAAGTAAAACATTACTAATTAGTACCAACGTAATGAAAAAAATAAAAAGAGGAAGACAGTCTATAATGGGAGGATGAATTGAAATTGACAGCTGGCATATGTTGGCTTATTAGCCAACATCCTATTGGATTGCACTGAATAGAACACACTGGAAAGAGCTGGAGGAGGTCTATGCCAGAAGGCAGAGGCCAAACTCAGATTTTCTATAATTAAAATTTTCAAGACAACTGCGGCAAAAAAGGCTAATAAGTAAATATAACGTGAAGGAAAAGCTCTCCTATTCGTATTACTTTTGGAAACTTTAACCCGGGCTCACCCGACATTTGTTCATCTAAAATTATAAAAATTTGGACCTCAAATATAAATGATCTGAAATATGAATGAGGGCAACGGTGCCAGTTAGCGATGTTGTATGGTTTTATATAGCTCAGTATGATTTAAGAAAGTTAGAACAACGCACCTCATCCATGAAAACCTGGGTCTGGTGCTTGACCGCGTCGCGCCCGTAGTTGGAGCCCGGCTCGATGGGCGGCGGGCACGGCGATAGGAACTTGGGACAGGCGAATGTGAAGCAACTCTCGAATTCGCCCAAGTCGCCGTATTGCATCTTATACATTTTCTCGTGGTAGTTCTTTTCGCGGAGAACCTGTAGGATGTTTATTATGCATAAATGCTTTATTTATTATTGGATTGCAACGAGTTAGAAATGATATGGAAGCATTACTCTCTAACAAAAAAAACTTATACAACCAAACTTTAAAACTAACGCAACACGCACACATACAACAAAAAATACTTTCATAAATCAAATATCTGCAAATCGGTTCGGCTATCCCTTCATTGAGTAAGATAATGTTAAACGGAAATCCCAACCAATCCCATGATCGTCATGTTGACCGCATGTTTTTCGGGTCTTCCACTTCATCGCATTTTGCGTAGAACCACTTTTTTAGCGCAGTTGGAATGGAATACATCCATATTAATTCTTATTCGTTTTCGGATTGAGAATAATAGACGTCTGACGAGCTACTGCTGACGCCACATACACCAATTTTAGCAAAGCTTTCGATTTAGCAAATATTAACATCCTAATAAATAAATTATCTTCATATCTGGACAGTTGCTTAATTGGTGCAAATATTATCTTTCTGTTAGAAGTTTATAAATGAAGTAACATTCTGTTTTCATGATTCTCAATGTTATATCTATATGCAGACGATCTAAAGATTGTTAAACATGTGACTGGTCGTACCTATGTGCAAGTGCAACTATTGCAGGAAGAATAAGATCGCTTTGTGGTCTGAAGTTAACCAATTGAAATTAAATCCTAACAAATGCTTGCTTTGAAAGATACTTTACTATACTAGATACTTAAATCTTTCAAAAAAAACTCCAAACTTCTCATGCTACAAACTAAGCAACTCCATTCTGAGGGAGCTTGATACTATCCGTGTCTTAGGCGTGATTGTTGATAATTAACTGCGGTTTAACACCCATATAGATAATATTGTTTCCAGAAATTTTAAGTTGCTTGGATTTATCTCGCGTAATTGAAAAGAGTTTAAATAAGATCAAACCAAGATTTCTGTTTTTAACAGTCTGGTCAAATCAATACTAGAATATTGTATGTACGAGTATGTAATATTGTACTCAGTTTGGTTTCTATTGTTTATATGATAGTCACCTATGATATTCCTTGGTATTATACTCGTATTCATGAAAAGCGAATTCAATCAGTTTACAAAAGATTTCTATGGCACTTAACCTTTCAATGTCACAAGGGTAAATAACTTGTTACTTAAAAGCAACACTTAGATTTATTTTAAACTACAAAGCTTCGCCAAGCCAAGCAGATCGCTAGCAGATGGTAAATCTGCTCCGTTTGCTTGTTGATCTGGTCGTTCTGGCAAGAGTGGGTGGAGAACAGCTGCTTGGGGCGCTAGTGATTTCTCATGGTTTTATCCTAATATATTATTAAAATTTACCTGCTGGATGGATTCATCGACGCACTGCGGGTGCAGCACCAAGCAGATCGCCAGCAAATGGTACATCTGTTCAGTTTGCTTATTGATCTGATCGTTCTGGTAGGAGCGGGTGGAAAACAGCTGTTTCGTACGCTGCATATACAGCAGGGCCGAAGAAAGAGTGCGAATGGCGTCGGCATATCGCCTCATCATCATGTACGCGAAGCCCACGTAATACGATGTGGAGATCTGGCACGCGGGCACGTGCGAGTATTGAGACTTCTTGTGTAGCTCGATGTTTTCTAACACCTGCGTGGAAATTTTAAGGTTTATTGATGTGTAACATTTTTCCTCTCGCTTTCGTGCAATTTATGGGGGTGATTACGAGAAGTGGGACGGATGTGTGTAACAGGAAGTTTGGGAAGCGCGCGTTATTTGATTTGATTTTAGAACATAAGTTCAAATGGCTTATTCCTTTTGCAGTAGGTTTTATTTATTTTTTTACTAATATTAGGTGAGGGCTCAAATGTAACACATCATACGCGACTACTGTAAGGCTCGCTCGTTTTTTTTTTTATTAGCGAACCGCCCCGGCTTTGCACGGCCCCAATGCTGATAGTAAATATACTACAGAACGTCTTTATATACAATGTTCACAGCTTTTTTGTCATTAGACAATACAAACATGTTTTCCTTAGAGTTAACTCTTGAAAGAGCGACATATAATTGGCCATGTGAAAAACACTCAACTCTCAAATCTAAGCCTGCAACGTTGAAAGTTTGACCGTGCCGGTACCGCCGCAACCGCTATGTCCCTGCATTTTAAATCTGTAATATCTTCGAAAACATTCATTTAAATTACATGCTGTAAAGGGCCATATTGATCTATATTACGCACAATGTATTTAAGGTACTTAATTGGATAAGGATCAACGCTGTATTGCTTAAGTAATAAGTAAAGGATAAAAAATGGTTATTGTGGGTTATCCCTAAGAGATAGACATATACGATCGCGGACTTTTTGTAGACCTTTCCGATCAGCTTGATCCTTTGGCTTTGCGTAGGGATGTAGCTTCGCTCTGCATCTTCTATCGCATTTATCACGGGGAGTGTTCTGAGGAATTGTTCGGATTAATTCCAGCTGCTGCATTTCGCCATCGTACATCGCGACAAAAATTTCATCCCCATCATCTTGATGCGTGGCTATCCACAACCGTGCGTTTTTGTCGAAATTTTTTACCACGTACGACAAAACTGTGGAATATGTTGTCGCCAGCAGTGTTTCCGGACCAATACGACCCAAGAACCTTCAAAAAAAGAGCGTACTCCTTCCTTAAAGGCCGGCATCGCATTTGTGATACTCCTGATGTTGCAAGTGTCCATGGGCGACGGTGATCACTTACCATCAGGTGAGCCATCTGCTCGTAAGCCCCCTATAACATAAAAAAAAGACCTTTTTAGGTGTACAATACTGTAGTACATAATTTTGATCTATCTCGTAGGGTTCAGCCAGCGTTTGCAATGTAAGCGTAAAATGTGTTTATTTACGACCTTACATTAAAAACCTCTAAAATTACCAGTGTTTCTGTACTATATTATGCATGTATTATACATATAAACCATCCTCTTGAATCACTCTATCTATTTAAAAAACCGCATCAAAATCCGTTGCTTAGTTTTAAAGATCTAAGCATACATAGGGACAGCGGAAAGCGACTTTGCTTTATACTATGTAGTGAATACCTTCGTGGTGCAATGGTTTGTACAATTAGAATTTTTTATTTAGTAAGTCCCAAAGTCTCCTTGGTACACAACGATAATATGCAAATCTTCGATACCTGGCGACTTTGGTCTCTAGCGACTAGCGCAGTACAAAACAAAATGTCGGCAACGCATGCATATTTATGAACCTCTATGTACATACTTGTATTGCAGTAGTCGTTTAGAGACCAAAGTCCTCAAGTATCAAAGATTTGCGTAGCATTGTGTGCGTACGGGCTCATAGTACAGCTTAGGCTTGCTTTGTGAAATCTCACTTTTGCTATCATTAATTCGCCTCTTTAACAGATGACAAATATTTATCACTGGCTATTTTAACAGTCATTGCGACAATTTGCGGTGTGGTGGCGTTATGCATATTGTACTAATGTCGGATGCCAGCACATCACTTAGCTATTCGTGTTTGCTTTTTGTGAACTTGACATCAGTCTGAGCTTATCATGCTCTATTCGGAATGAAAAGGACACACTGATGTCTAGTTTACAAATAACAAACACTAGCAACCAAGTGAAGTGCCAGATTAAAACTGAAGATATTGAATTCATTACTTCAATATAAACTAATGGTAAAATCTTAATTGTCACCTTTATAGCTTGGTAATAATCGCCGAGTAGCGAATGAAGACGCAGCAGCCCCACGAGGGAGAAGTAGCCAAGCATTTTATAGAGAGAATGGCGACCAAATTCTCCCGCCACCGAGTCTGGGTCGCCGCCAGCAGCATAAACCTGTTATAAATTCAGTCAGTCAGACCAAACAAACACCAAAGAAGTACAAACGTGAATTAAAAGATAGGTTTTTACAAATCTTATGAAGTACAAAATGGTATCTTTGCTAACAGCTCTCGTCAGCATGAGTAATAAATAGTTTATTGTTAGCAAATATACACTAGCTAGCCACACTATTTCACTAATGGACAGATAGCTAAATAAGTACAGTTTGACAGTAAATCCTGGTAATGAACAGCATGGACTTACCTCAAGCTGGCGTTTGATGTTAGATTTGTCAACCAAAGAGTGCAGTACATTGAGAATGCATAGAACATTCCAAGCCTTATTCTCAGTGTTAAGAGTTTCAATTTCAGATGGGCTCAATTTTGAAGTGCGGGATCTATAATAATTAAAAAAAAAAACATCAAATCATTCCAGAATTTTAAAATGTTTTAGAGGTCAAAACATAACCAACTATGACTCTCACTACTATCATTCTCTTACTTACTAAGATTTATTTGCTTAAAGTAAAAACTCATCTTTCAGTCTTACTTTATGAGCGTGTCTTTCTATACTTCACCTAAATGAATAAACACACAATAAATGCACATAACCTAGAAATATTCAAGAAAGTAAGTCAACATACCTGTATTGTGCAAATGATTGGAATTGGTAGACAAACTCATCAATAAGTTCCCAGAGCCACTGATCAGGCAATTCCAGAGGAACAGGAGTTTCCGCTGATAAGATGTAATTGAACAAGTCACAGTAGTTGTAGAAGGAGGTGAATCTTTGTTCTGGCTTGGGACCACCAGGTACTCGAGCATAAATATCCCGGTAATACAGCTCTTTATAAAGGATCATGAACACCTAAAATATAAATATTTTTTATATTATCATTGAATGATTACAAGTGTATATGTTACAGTTAAAACCGGTTTTCTCTAGCTAAAATTAGTTTTTACTAAATGCCTTTGTTAAAACTAGAAATAACTTGTCAAAACTAGAATTTACCACTGATATATTTGATTTTCAGGTAATACTAGTTGTCACTCCGAGCTTTCGTTAAAACTAATTAGTTTCTCTAGTACTAACTAGAGAAACTAATTTGGGATTGAAAACAAGATATAGTCTTCGTTATGTCTGTCTGCAGTTCAAGTTTGCATACAAATAAACATTCCATTTCAAACAATGACATAATGAACTCGCAAATGTTACGAATTCATTTAATTTTGTTGAATACGATATTGGTTTGTGCTAAGGGTATAAACCCTTAGCACGAACTAATATGGAATTCGTAACTTTTGCGAGTCCGAAATGTTATTGTCAAATGTGTACTGATTTTTAGTTCTCATTACATACTTTGTGGCGCTGCTGTTCAAGTTTCCATACAAAATTTGACATTGACATTTAGTACTCGTAATCTATTCGAATTCAATAATGGTTCGTGCTTGGGGTACAGTCAGTAACCTTAGTTTCGTCCATTGCAGCTCTGCTGTTGAAGTATCCATATAAAATTTTACATTGACATTTTGGATTCGCAAATGATTCGAATTCGATAATGCTTAGTTCTAAAGGTACAGTTCTCGCTGACTCGCTTCAGCAAAACGTGTGTTGTCTAGTAAGACCTAGTTTTAACTGATATTCCATTTTGAGCATAAGTCAATTCTAGTTTTAACAAAGGCATTTAGTAAAAACTATTTCTAACTAGGGAAAATGCGTTCTATCTAAAAACTGGTTTTAATGTCAATTAAAACAGTAACAATTAAAAAAAACTATTTTAATTTTAAGTATTTACTGCTAGCTTCATAAACCTAGTTTTTTTTTAAATGAAAATTATGTTTAATATCAAAACATTGTCATCATAAAAGAATTAATGAATTAAATTTTAAAATTATTACTACGCAACCTCATTATTATTATTTTATTGAGCTGTTTGGATTGGTTATTTATTCATAAAGGACAAGAATATCTCTGCTTAGGCGATTTGTTCAAATATAGATACTTCTCTATTAAAGCATTCACTGTTGACTCTAAATTTTTTTTTTTTTTGTGTTTATCTGCAATCAGTAATTTACTATAAGCAGATGTCATGAAAGTTACTGTTGTGTCGAGCGTATCCTCCATTGAGGATATCTTCTCGTAATTAATTATATGCTGGAAAAAAGCTTATGGTAATATGTCCCTTCTCTTCAAACGTTTCACATAGTCACGAGTAGTGAGTCTGCTCTGGTTGCAAGTGTATTTGGGTGATTTTCGAGTCGGTTTCAATATTTATTTTTGGCAGACCGTATTTCTTCTACCACAGTGGTCATACTTAGATTTTCATGGATCTCGGAATTGGTGATAAACCATAACACATTTGCTATTTTTCTGAGGACTATATTTTGCATCCTCTGAAGTATATTAATGTTAGATTTGCTTGCACTCCCCCGCTTTTTTACTCCCCTCTTTTTTAAAATAAAAATTATGTTTAATATCAGAACATTGTTATCATAAAAGAATTAAAGAATTAAATTTTAAAACTATTACTACGCAACCTCATTATTATTATTTTATTGTGCTGTTTGGATTGGTTATTTATTCATAAAGGATAAGAATATCTCTGCTTAGGCGATTTGTTCAAATGTAGACACTTCTCTATTAAAGCATTCACTGTTGACTCTAAATGTCTATTTTTTAATGATGGTCAAGGCACAGTCTTAGGAAAGGAACAGGACTGACACAAAAAACTTTAATTTGCTTGCTTCGCTTCAGAAGTTTTGCACAAGCATTTGTATCTAAGCCTTGGATGTTTATATGTGTTTCAAGATAATTATAATGTATCAGTATATGTCTAGTATCTCATAACACAAGCATTTCATTACAGTATGATTGGGGATAGGCTAATTGGTTAAGTAAATAAATAATTTACTTACATGATCATTATCAACCACAGGCCCAACCTCATTTTCGTCAGGCCAAGGAGTGTTTTCGAAATACTGTTCTGTTAATTTAGGGAAGGTATTTTCATATAGATTAAGAATCTCATAGGTCACACCCTCATTAATCATGTTACGAAAATACACAAGAAATTTCTTCACCTAAAAGTCATAAAATATAATCGCATCATTGAAATAGCAATTGCATGACTTAAAAGTTTACAAATAAACTTAAAGTTACAAACCATATCAGGCATCTTATAGTAAGATCTATCATATTCCAAGTCATACTGTGGATCTCCTGTATGTGGCTCATAGTCACCATACGACTCATATCCTCCCTGTAAGAAAATTTCGTTATGAGGTACTAACTTTCTGTACGAGCGGCGTTTACATATATTTTTTTCCTTATAAATGCATAGGTTGTTCAACCTCTTTCGAGAGGTTATTTTAGGCTAAATATAATTTCACTTTCCAAGCTAAGCGTAAATCTAACCTCGTTATAATCGTCACTAGAATACATTTTTATTTTAAGGTTTCCCTTTTTTTCATTAAATCACAAAAGTCAGAACAAAATCAAAAGCTCGCGAAACACACCACGACACGAGTTTAACACAGACTAGTTAGAGATACTACGTATTAATGGACACAGATCACTATTTAAGTAGCAAGCTAAAGCCCACCATTCACTACACGCACCGCGAGCCGAACCCCGAGCCGTACCCATCCGTGGACAAATCCGTCATTGCCCACACACTACACGAGCGCCGAGTTGCAGTCCAGTCGCTTGTGTACTTTGGTGAGCCTCGCGCGTATCGTTCTTCCCTACCCTACCATGCCACCGGTGCTTTCCAAACGCACAAAAGTCGCTTTAGTAGTTGGTGCAATAAAAAAAGAGCGTCTGAACAAAGGAATGGCTGAAATAACGAACAAAATATACTCATTTAAAATTTCTCCAATGCATTCAGTCCTGTAAACCACCTGTTTCTCTTTAGTTTTTTCTTTAAACAGCAGGATAAATTCTTGCCAAAACTCTTTATGATCGCCGAACGACATGTTATTATACTCGTTCGTGACACAAACAACACAACTGCAGGCTAATTGTGATATTGTTTTGATGTCAATTTCACATTACGCATTATGCTCTCCGAAAAATGCGATATCAAAATGACATCAACTTGACATCAAATTTAAAATGATATCAACTTAAATGCGTATTACGTTCAACTTTTTGACATAAAACTCGCACTCTATCCCCAAAACATCCGTCTCATACACCCATACTGGTTGACTGGTAGAGAAGGCCTATGGCATTAAGTCCGCCATTTACTGTTTTTGGTAATAAAGAATAAATAAATAAATAAATAAAACAGTATCGCATAAACGTCAAAAATGTGATACAGACTTAACAAGTTAGGAGGTGGTTTCTCTGTATCAAATTCCTTTTTTTTTTGATAAAAAAGAGTAAAATGGCTCGTTTCGGGTTAGTAATGGACTATTTAGAACGAGCTCATGCCGAGGACATGCGTAGAAGAGATAAACCCCTTGTAGAAGAGATACAATTAGCTCTTTATGTTCGCTAATTGTGATATTGTTTTGATGTCAATTTCACATTACGTATTATGCTCTCCGAAAAATGCGATATCAAAATGACATCAAATTAAGCGTATTATGATCAACTCTTTAAAATGATATTAAGTTGATATCAATTTAAATGCGTATTATGTTCAACTTTTTGACTTAAAACACTATCGCATAGGCATGCGTCCGATATATCAAAACGAATCCAAAATCCGATTTCAAACACAAATCGATACCGAACGATTTCTCAACAAGAAAATCCGATTTCAGAAATCTAACCGAACCAAAACGCTAGCGATCTAATACCACCACAAGTATCCAAATGTAAATCGGATTCGAAATTCGTGCTTTCGTTTTCGGAAGTCAGATTTCGTGCTCGGAAGTCCGATTTCGGTTTGCTGTTTACCGAAATCTATTGTTCTTCTCTAAGGCGGGATTATTTATTACTGAAAAAAGATGTCTAAAAACATCAAAAGTCGAGCAACTGACATTTTTTTGAACGCTAACCTGAAGTAATTAGGTTTGATTTTGTAAATGGTTTGAAAAATAATAAAAACAAACAGAAAAAAAAATGGTTGCCTGTAAAGTCGGTTTTACGGGCGAAGATTTTACGTGACAACGTCTTTTTCTCGGTAGAATATTTATTGATATGAATATAATTAAATTGCACAATAGGAACAAGGAATTGAATGAAAATAAGAATTGCACAAATTTTAACTATAGAAATATATTTTGTTTACTAAAACATTGTACATGTAAACTTAAACTTAACACGAGAGACTCATCGTAACGTTACCGAGCGTTACACTTTTTCATAAGTGACTCCCAGCCGCAACCTAATTTAAGACGTTGTCACGTCAAAACCAAAAAAATTACTAAAAAAATATGTAAAAAGAAATCATTTAACATAAGCCGATTTTTAAATGCGCCGCAAAAGTTTTACTCTTAACCGTAAAGATAACTTTTCTGCTAGTCCTAAGCCACAGAATATATACTCTTGCCTAAGCCTAGATTTAAAGCATAAAGGAAAATCGCGCAAATCTACGAGTATCCTTGCTTCGTACAATTAATTGTTTGTGATTTTTGTTAGCTAATAAAACCAAATCATATCACAAACTAGTGAATTGGCTTAGTTTGGCACATCTGAAATCGGATATCTAAAACGGATTTTAAAATCGATTTTGAAATCTGAAATCCGATAAATATCCGTTTGCGTTCAAAACCAAAAACGCCCATGTCTACTATCGCATAAACGTCAAAATAGTGATACAGACGTGATCCAGTATTAACAAGTTAAGAGGTGATTCTGCGTGCACGCACTACAAATGACTGACAAGTTCGCCGACAAATCTGTGCAAGCACACACACGTACGGATTTGTACGGCGCGGCTGGGGTGCGGCGCGGCGCTCGCGTCTCTCGACGGCGAGCGCCGCGCCGAGCCACGAGCCGCACTCGCCAATACATTCACACGCGGATTTGTCCGCGGACTTGTCGCCAGCGACAAATCCGGCGGATTGGCGCGCCCGTGAATGGTAGGCTTTAATAATGGACTTATTGGAGTACATTGACATAAACTAGGGACGTACTTGCTCAGTGCACTGACTGAGCAATGGCTCGATAACCGATATCAATACATCCAGGATCCATCATTGTTCTGTTCATTGATGTATTCGATACACGCTATGATGATCTTTTTGACCATGGATTTATTAAATTCTTTTATAAAGGCCTTACAAGACTTGCATTGAAGGCATACATAAATAAATAAAAAACTGAGGAGTTTTTAGCGGGATTTCATCGAGTGCGGTTGGCGTCTTATTTTAATTATTCTTAAATTCGTTCATAGTGGATATTGTGAAATAAAATTGGTGTGGTTTTGTGTAACAACCGTCTGCGTAACTGAAGAATTAGTGGAATCGTTAAAATATACGCTATTCCGGTCAAGTGGACGTGAGGATTTTATTGTAGTGTTGACTACCTCACAGAAGCTTATCGAAAAAGCCAACATTATTTATGATATTATGATACATTTCGTGCCAAACACTCCAAGAAACATTAGAATGCCTCACACCGACATTCTAATGTAAAAACAAAAAGAAGATTAATTTAATTAAAGACTAGGCTGTATGAGCATTGTTCCCTTTGCCTTCTCTAAAACTGGAGAACTTCAACAAAAAAAAAACTGACATATTGATTGATATAATTTTCCATGGTATACTTTACTCTTTGTAATTTTATTTTCTTTCTTGTTATCTGTGGTGTTGTAGATTTAGTTTGATACGCGCAAATAGTAGATATTAATTTAATTCCACCTTCGTTTCTCATTCTCTACTCGAAAATAATTTTTCGTTGACACTATTCGTGTTAAAATTATTCCTAATAAGTTCAAAACTACTTCATTTTCAAACATGTTCCCATATAAATTGAACAATTTTATGACACGCAGTTGTCAAATGGTCAGGAATTCTGAAATTTTGCGAAAATTTTCGATATCAGCGACAAAATATGATATTGTTAAAATCCAAAGCACTGAAGACTTCAAAGCAAAAGTTATTAATAGTAAAGTTCCAGTGGTTGTCGATTTCTTCGCAACGTAAGTACATAAGTTTATGTATTATTTGATGAAGCGATCAAGTTATGTCCGTGTTTAATTAGTACCGACCTTTGATTATTAACCTTACCTGAAAAGTGAATTCCCAACAAAAAATTAGAATGGTACTTGTGCAAATCACTTTATTATAAGTGATACCTACATGTTTTCATTTGTTTCAAAGGATTACATTTTGTTTTCAGATGGTGCAACCCTTGTAGACTTTTGACTCCTCGTCTGGAATCCATTATCAGTGAGAACAAAGGGAAAGTAGTCCTAGCTAAAGTTGATATTGATGAACAAACAGACCTTGCTTTGGATTATGAAGTTAGTTCTGTGCCCGTACTGGTTATCATTAAAGAAGGGAAAGTACAACAACGCTTAGTTGGACTTCAGGATACTGACAAGTTACGCAAATGGATAGAACAACATGCTACTGAGGAAACTAAAGCAGAAGTGAAAGCATAAAAAAATATAAAATATGTCTGTGGGTGATATTAAGATATTCTAGAGTATTGCTATTGTAATTATGTAGTCAGTTAAAATAAAATTTCAAATGGATTGATTTTATTCTTGTAAAAACTGTAATAACTCCCTAGCTCTTTTATAAATTGCTTCATCTGGTTTTTTTATTTCATTTTCATTGTCTTCATTTTCTGAATTTGCGTCTTCACATTTTTGTGATTCAGTCCAGTCATCCATTTGTTTAATAATTTTATTTGCATCATCCAACAACATAGTACGGATATTGCCTTTCGCAGATTCAAAATATTCCAAAAGTAGACTCCATGACTCCTTTGGTATTAAGCTTTCAGAAAATTTATTCTTGTATAACCATACTTGTTTTGCTTTCATAAACTTCCAATTGTGTTTATTGTGTTTCCACTGAGAAAGATAATTCAGACATTCTGATTTTGTCTGTTGCTTGGCTGCAGCTACATTTTCGGCTTGACGTTGTGCAAACTTTTCTCTCTTAGCCTGTCTGATAGATTTGTTTTTATTGTTAGGCTGAGCTGAAGAAAATTCTGTTTTCTTCTTCTTCTTTTTCTTTTTCTTGGGTTCATTTGCATTATCAGAATCGGACTCAGAGAGTCTCCTCAGAGAAGAATGAGAGGGGTTTTCATTGTGTTCGGTTACCCTTTCTGATTCCTCTGTACATACGGATTCGTCTTTCTGTTTATTTTTATTTTCCTGACTTTCTGAATGAGGTCTCTTTTTCTTCTGCTTTTTTATACTACTTTCACCCACCATGATAACTATTTATACTTGATTTCGTTTTATAACCTAACTTTTAGTTGAAAATGGTTGAGAGAAAAGAATTTTCACAGATTACACAAAGTCTGAGCGAGGATCAACCAGCAGCCACAGGAAGGCAAAGGAAACTATTTTTAGAATGTTAAGGTGCGTTCCGACTATGCCATAATATTCCGATATTATTTGGTCTCTCAAATTCTGTAAAAACTTAGGTAGCTTTCTAATTATAGCACATTATGCGGCATAATGCTTAACGTTGAGTGTTCCAACTACAGCAACGCTTCGCACAATTGAGCACTCTCAAAAGTAATGCTTTCGTGTGATGCGTGCAATCGTACCAACTCAGAGACAGAAAAAATTAACAAGTGTTTTTTCTTTAAGTTGGCATTGATCGAAATGTTTTATTTATATGTTATCGTTAGTAATATTATTTATTGTTGAAAAATTACTAAAACTTTCGTTTCATAATAGTTTGAATTAACTTTGATTTTTTTTTAAATAATCAAAGTTAATTCAAACTGTGTTAAAAATTAAATATAAATGTGGATGAAGGTACAAACATTGACTTTTTTTTTCAACACTGAACTTAGCGCACTCTGCTGGTGCATTTGAAAACTAATTCACGTTCCAATTAAGCATCAGCATAATTCGGCATTGTACGGCACTGAGTCGCATTATGCTCTGTAATTGGAAAGCAACCTTCACGCTGGAAGTTCTGTAGATTTAGCACAGACCAATAAGAGAACAAGTTATATTGTGTAATCGACGCAAGCACTTCTCATCAACGCAAACAAGCAATATGGCGGCCAATCGTTCAAAACAGCAATTTAACAACAACACATACACGAAATTTCTTTCTTCATGTTGGTACCTGAGTGCGGGGGTTGAAGAAACGATAGCGGGGGGTGAGATAAACGTCACTCGACATCCTTGCACTGTCATCTTTACGAAGTTTTTTTTAATGGAGCTTTGCCAAGCGTTAGATTTAGCAATGTTTTCTTTACACTTAGCTGGAATTTCTTCAATTCTAGGTGCTATTAAATACTATCGAGATGCCAGTATTCTATATAAATAATCTGATAAACAAAAATGATTGATATCGACATTTGTACTCATAAACATGTAGCCATCTCGTTTCATTTAACCTACAATAGGCACGATTCTCTAAATCGAAACTTAAATTTGACAAACAGTGCATCCTTGTCATTCTCTGTACAGAATGTAAAGGAAAGACTAATGTCAAGTTTAGAGATTCACGCCAGAATCGGCACCATTATATTTGCGTGAAATAATAACAGCAACATTATAAAGTCACCTGGTTGAAATGCCTATTTGCGATTGCGGCCGGTCGCCATTTTGAGTTCCTTTTTTACTAGGTCCTTTACAGTGACCCAGGCAGGTACATAGGTTGTCAAATTCTGTTGTATTTACAGTGTTTTGTGCCAAAAGTGTTTTATTATTTCTGACAACAACGCATTTACCAATTCTGACAACAACGGATCTGTCGACGTTGGTCAGCCATTTCTTTTTAGATTTATAACAACAATAAAAGGTGGATCTATCGACACCAATTAACTAGATTTTAGAACAACCAAGTTCTTAAAACCAATGATAACTATGATTACTTATTTAGTGGACCAATCGACACTCAATAATTTACTAGTATTTGTTTGTAGAGCAACACTATAATATAAGAAACGTAATCATACTATCACGGACCTAAAAAAAAGACGGACATAACATAAAACTAAAATGATGTGAAGCATGCAAGGTCCTACAATTTCGTTTGTTGTACACTACAGACACTCAAATGTTGTCAAATTAAGTTAAGGTTTAGAGACACCGTTCCTAAGCTAATAAAAAAATTAAACTAACTATTAACTAAAGAGGTTGTACTATTTACGCAATGGAATGCGTTCATTCGAATTAATTTTTGCTGGTCACCCTGACACCCAACAAAACGCGAATTTATGGCACGTCACAGCCGCGTCATCATGTCTCCGTGTCTGCTTTTATCATTGAGTTGATTTGTTGAACATTAGCAAACCATATTGGTACCTTTATATGTGAACTTTTAATTTCAAAGGATTCGGTAATACATCTTCATGATGGAACTGTTATCGCAAGTGTCCAATACACAGTTTCTTTTCCCTGCCGCGGCAGTAGCTGTTGTTTTAGTATGTGCCGCTTTAGTATTTGTCTTCGGATTCCATTCGGCGGAGCAGCCACAATTTGATAAGCTGCCACTAGTCGTAGACGACAGAAAATCTTCAAATAAGAAGAGGAAAACAAAGGACAAGGTCAGTGAAATCAGCATACGGCCCGTGCCCGACATTGTGCTCATTTTATTTTTGTCTTGTGCATATGCTCGTATTTTATAGAGTAGAAGATTATAGTGATATACTGTCTGACTTACGACTTTGAGTTATGTATTACTAGAAAAGGATAGCCGATTAAACTGTAAAGAGTCTTACAATAACTTTTGAATAATAAGATGTAATAGAAATATATATAAATATTGTTAATTTTTACATTTTTAATCAATTTTTACTTACACATTTGTTTCAGAAATCTTCACCCAACCGTTCTACGAATGAGGATGTGAAGACTAAGTCTGAAGCCTCCAAAAAGTCACCTTCTAAGGAGAAAAAGGAGGAGAAAGTGAAAGAAGCAGACAAACCAAAACCTAAAGTAGAGCCCAAAGCAGCAAAGAAAGATATAACAGGAGAAACCAAAAGGGCTAAAAAGGGCAAATCCAATGTGGAGGTTGAGAAACCAGCAGACTTTGATGAAGGAGTCTGGGAAGAGGTGCCAAAGAAGAGTGATAAGAAAAAGGTGAAGGTTTCTGATGAAAAAGAAAAGGAAAAGAAAAAAGAGAGCCCAGTTAAGAAAAATAAAAAGGTTGTGAAGGATTCCGATGTTGAAGCTGCCCGGCCTCAGCTTGAGGAGTCAGGGGAAGAGACAATTAAGGTGGTGAGCGCTGAGGGCCCACAAATTGATGAGGAATCTGCAAGAGCCTTGCAAGCTCAAGTGGAGGAGCTACAGCGTGTGCTCAAAGAGGTTTTTATCAGGTTCTTTTTATTACAGAAATATAAACAGTATACCATATTATATAGATTCCAAATTTAAAAGTGTCAATGCTTAGTCTTACATTTTTAAGGTTATTATTGTGATAATTACATTTCTGCAGGGAGAACTCACTGCAACTGCAAAGTTGATTTTAGTAGTGTGTTCTCAGTGCCTTGGAATATGTATATTTTTTATTTACTTTTTATGAAAATGAGGATTTTTTAGGAGGAATGTGTCTTTCATAACATATTTGTGGAGTTTTTATATTATTTGTGTTTTATTATTAATTGATATAGTGTTTTATAAATATAGTTATTTAATTGTTTTTGCTGACAAATAAGCACCTTCCTCCTATATTAGGCTTCAAAACCTCTTCAAGTGACTGCTTTTATGTTGCTGAATATAAGATTCAGAAATCAATTGACAAAAATGTAAAGTCTACATTTTTGTCAACTGATTAATTTAATTTAATTGTCTGTACAAAAAATTAAAATCCACTATGCTTTAAATTGATAAGAGTATAGAAATCATTATAACAACAATCATTATCAGAATGTATTAATAGCAAGTATTTTTATGATCATCAGGCTGAGCTACGTGAACAGGCTGCACTTGGTGGAACTGATGATGAAGTGATACCTGAAGAAGAAGATCTTCCCGAAGTTAAGGACTTAAGAAGCAACAAAAAGAAGGAAAACATAGAGAAACAGATAAAGAAGAAAGCTACAGAGGTAAGCCTTAAAATTAGCATAGCATTGGTGTCACTTAACACTAAATTTAACATCAGTCTCTCCTTTCTTTCTGTATAGAGAATGTCAAGGATACACTGTTTACTGTAAGAATCATGCCAGAATCAACACCATTGAAACTATAAACGTAACAGATAAAATTAAACCCTTTAAGGATTCCAAAGTCTACAAGGAACCCTTTGTTGTATTTATTTATAGAGATACTTTTGAATATCTAGTATTAGTTTTGTGTAAAATAATTTAATATCAGTGTTAATCATTATGTTTTGAATAAACCATCCAAAAGCTTTCAAAGTAAATAAAAATACTCAATCATGGTAAAGTAGTGAAATGTGATTGAAATATTTTTATCACTATTAATTAGGATTTTCTTTTTTATTGTAACTTATTCAATTACTTTATCAAAACGTGATATTGAAAGTAAAAAAGGTTAGAAATGTGGGTAATGATGGTAAATAATTACATAATATACTGGTGTCATTAATGAGAATTTTTCATAATAGATTGCTGCTGTTGCAAAGAATGCACCTAAACCGGAACCTGTTGACGCTTCAGATGGATTGGCCAATTCGGATGAACAGCAGAATGTACCAGTTTTTGATGAACTAGGAGGTAAATATGTATTTTGATTTGTCAGATGCCTTTGTAAAATATTTCTGTATATGAAAAACTAAAAGTTTAATTACATAAATGTGACTCATTACATTACAAGAATAGTAATCATCGTTTTCTCTTTCAATAGTGTTTTTTGAAATTTTATTTTCCGCAACAATGTTCATCTTTTCGTTCAGACTTTTAACTTCAAAAATTTTAATTGCAGACACCTGGACCGATGCGAAAGTATCTAAGAAGGGCAAGAAAAAAGCACGCAAAGACCAGTGAGGGGTAAGTAAAGACAGGGTCCACTTGAGAGCGATGCCCTGTTACTAGCTCAATACCAATCACACCTCTGATAAAATTACTACTTCACTCATTTACATAAAGCAAACTTATCCTATGATTAACAATAATGTTGGAAATATAATCCGTATTACCGGTTGACTATTACATTATATTTAATTTCAGGGTTGTAATTTTACAGGGTGTGGAATACTATTTTACCATAATTTGTTCACATTCAGTCAATTTACGTCCATGTTTTTTAGTTTCATATTTTATTTCGTATTTAGCTAATGTTGACACGTTTTTTCTTTATTAATTAATAATTGTTTACATAGAAGCATAATAATAATGTTTTGTTTTTATATGCATTAATTGAGTCATAATTTTGTAGTATGTTCAAAGAACATTTTGACCTTTTGGGAATCTGCAATATGTTCTAAATGTTAATATATAATTGTATTATGTTGTTTTGTTTTGAAACATTAATATGATTATGTTTGGAATTATTATATTTAAGTTATATTTTGAAATGTATGGCAGAACCTTATTTGTAAATGGTAGCTAGAATTTAGAAATCCAACCCATATTTTTATTCAAGATCTTCTGCTGCTTGTAGTTATAAGAAAAATCCTTTCATTCCATGTGTGTGCATTTTATCTTTTATGTTTACCTACTCACCCAAAATTATTATTTTTTATTCATTGTAGGTTTTTCATTCTTCTAAAATATTTGATTTTAAATTATTTTATTTGATCCATGACTAAAATGTGATGTGACCTGAAATTGGACCAATGTGTAAGTTGTCACGACATTTTTTCAATAGTGTTTTTAGCTTTCAATATATCTAGTATACTCCAATATCTTTATCGTAACTACTTTCCTAGATTATCTTGATGTTAGATTATAATAATGTACATATTTTCCGTCCGGACTCATTCTAATTTCCAAATTCAGTGTAGAAATTCCCATACAACTTTCGTGTTGCCTCGTGTTTGAAACATAATGGTGTCGATTCTGGCATGATTCTCTAAACCTAACCTACTTAAATTTGACAACAGTGAATCCTTGTCATTCTATTACACTATGAAAAGGATATACTTATGTCAAATTTAGTTTTTAGTTTAGAGAATCATGCCAGAATCAACACCAGTATCTTTGTTTCTGTGAACATCAATATTATTTTCAATATTGCTAATATTGTGGCATTCACAACGTTACTGTTTTATTGCAGATTCCTATTTTGTATACTTAGATGTAAGAATAAAGAATAAAATTTAGAATAGTGCCGACACCATTCTGTATAAATAATAATTTAAAATGCTAAATGTCTCGGATTGCATATTATTTATTATGTAATTTTAGGTTAAGTGTGAGAGCTTCGAAATTAATTTGATTTAAATAAAAAAAGATAAAAAGAAATTTCATTTGAATATTTAACCTTTCGATTCATCGGCTGTGTAATATTTAAAGTTTTTAACCGACAAATTATTGACTCACTTACTTGCAGAATTGTAGCCATTTTGGCTTATATCATGGCTATTTATTCGCTATTTATAAACCATATGTTTTAAAAACTTGAAAGAACAATCAAATTATAATACTGTGCCAACCAGAAGTATTTTTATTAAAAAAAATATCTCTCCTTTTTAAGATCTTGTTCCTTATCACTGTCTCATAATAATTTCATAATAAATTCGCCACGTGATATATATTACATGGATAGCTAATAAAGGAAATTTTCTTTTATTTTAGCGTTAAATTAAGTACCTAAGGTATAGATAGTAATGTGTATGTACATTTTAATATTATCTCTGATGGATTTTACAGATTGTTATGTTGTTATAACTAAATCTTAAGAGAATGTTTTATTTTCCATTTTAATGTGGTTTCTTTGATTTTGTTTTTTTCGCTATTTAAAATTAAATTACAGTGCATTAGGGCCTAAACTTTTATAAGAGAAATATTCAAAGCATTTAGGTGAAAGAAAATCTATATCAATAGTAGGTACATTAGATGTAAAACAATATTTTACGGCTTTGATATTGTTATAAAAGTAGTAAGTAATTAGGATTGATCTATACCTGAGACCCAGGTTAGAATATTGCCAACGCATAGACATGTATCTTGAGAATTTCGTTTTATAGGCTCTAAATAGAATGAATGTATGATATCAATATTTTTTTAAAATCAATAAAGAGTGATAAATTAATCTGTCGTTTTTATATTTAGTACTTTCAGGGTACTTTTACCTTTACGTCCAGGTAGTTTAAAATAGCAAAATTTGTATGAAACATATAAATTCTTTGTAAAAAGCTATTTTTAAATTTGACGTAAATAACATTTTATTTAAGTTTTGTATGCAGTTACGCATCTTCATACAAATCTGTCTAAATGAGCTAATAAATAAAATATTGCATTTTATGTTCATTTGATGTTTTAAAAAACATATCGTCATTTTTAGATTTGATAAAATCAATCATTTTATGGATAATTATACATGTACAATCTCGCTATTTTAGATTCCCTGTTTTGTTGTGAAAATATAATAAAACACATGTGCGATTATTATAGTTACGATTTATTTGTATAAATATCAAATTCCAATATAAAATCGAGATTCAAATGTATAAAGTTACAAAGTATCTACTGTACGAGTTGTAATGACTACTAGTGTCAGTATTGGTGATAGTTTATAAGAATTAAGTGCAAATTCATCACTACAGAAGAGTGAAGATCGTTAGAACGTAGCATCGTAACGTAATCTTTCTTAGTTAGTCTCTTTCTATAAACATACAGGGTTAATTTTAAAACACCAACAACCTCTTAGGGGGTGATTCTTCCCATCATCAGGAACAACTTTTGCTGGAATCGCGAAAAAGTATGTTTCATACAAAAGTGCTTCAGCTAATCGATCGAAATGTATGAAAGAGCTGTTTTTTTTCGTGATTTCAGAGTTGGTCCCATAAAGGAACAACTGTTCTATCCATATTCTATCCATCAACAGGAACAACTGTTCCTGTTGATGGATAGAATCACCCCCTAAGAGGTTGTTGGTGTTTCAAAATTAACCCTGTATATGTAACTGTAGATTGTTCATTGTTACTATTATATACAGGACGTCACACGGAGGGAATGTATACTAAATATTGAAGATAGGGTATTTTACTGAAAGAATTCATTTTATTTTAATAATAACTAGGACTGCATTCACAGTTTTTTTTAAAATCCACTGCTACAACTGGGAATCCAGCTTGTGAAATTAAAAAAAAAAACATGCTATATTTTATGATAATAATCGAAAGGGTTAATCATAAGGATTATTTTTCCTCAATAACATAGCATTTTAAATGAAAGGAAGATCATGAAGTGATAACTAAAATTTTGTTCAGGAAAATTTCCTCTTACTTTTCCGTGCTTCCTACAGCTAATGTTATCATTTCAAAGAATTTACTAACTAGTCTTAATAATACAGGATTTCCTTACTTTAAGTACGTGAAAAAAAGCGATACATAAACAAACAATGCACCGTTTCTTTTCGATTGAAGTTTATGTTCAATTATTAAAAATAAATCGTGATTTTTTCCTTTCATTTAAAATACTATGTTATTTAGGAAAAAGCAATCCTCATGATTAACCCTGTCGACGGTTATCATAAAATACATGGTGTTTTTTCTGTTTCACATTTCACGACTTTGAATCCCGGTTTCGGCAGGCGATTTTCTGGAAATTGTGAATGCAGTTCTACTTAATATTACAAATAAAATGATGTCCTCTTTCACTGAAATATCCTATCTTCAATATTTAATATACTTTCCCTCCGTGAGACAAACCCGTGGCACATTCTGTATATTTCCACATAGGTACACGTTATATTATATCAGTTCTGTACTATCATCATTTTGATATAATTAAGGCACGTAAGTTTGTCCTATGTAAATGCATTATTATTTTGGAAGTAAGTAAATAATGAATCCTAATTATATTATAAACGTGAAAGTATCAATGGATGCAGTGTATGTTGGTTACTCGTTCACACTAAAACGGCTGGCTGGACGGATTTGGATGACATTTGGAATAAATAGATCTTACCTAGATTAACACACAAGATACTTTTTATACCGGAAAAAAGGTTTCTGACTTATCTTTTTGATTCACAATAAACTAATTATAACCCGGACAAAGTTTTGGGCGGAAGCTAGGTAGCAGCAAATAATGTTTTAATGCTTACAGTTAGACGAATTTGTGCAGTTTGAATTGTATATTACAAAAGTGAAATATTATTCGGATCTACTATTTTTTACAAATAAATAATAATAGGTAGTTTATTGTGGATATTCAATACGAAGTTATGTTTTGAAAAGCCAGCAAAGCAGCCATATGGACGAATAGCAAAATGAGTTTTTATATACTTTAATGTGTCACATCACAACACAACACAGAAACCTTGTAAATAACGTATTTAGTATATTTTACGACAAATAATAGGTTTATAATTCGGAATCGCTCTTAGCGCCTGACTTTTTGAAATTGGAGTTTTGTAACGGCGGTGCTGCGCTCTTGCTGCGCGGCTTCCTTCGTCCGCGCCGCTTGGGTCTACGCAGTTTGCCAGACTGCGGCGGCGCAGCCTGTGTCTTCCTCTTGGTTTCCACCTCCACTTTCAAACGCGCGAACATGTCATAATTTGTGATGACACACCACTTTCCTGTTGATTATAATGAAGAAAAAAGTTTTTAGTTTTTTCTATAATATGCCTGTAATAACAAAAACCCCGTTTATTTCAATCTTGTTTATGTTTAAACATTATTTTGTAACGGTTTAAAAGTTTAAGGTACGCCCTAACCTATCTCCCGTAAACCTTTTTTTTTGTCAGGGAAATGCCTTACGCATCCTTCAACCACCAGGGGAGCGAGAAGAATAGGTATGTGGGGCTCCTCCACGCACATTTCAGCCAGCCCTTGGGCCGGATGAAATGAGCAGGGCCCTACCTAAAGCCCTGAACAGGGCCACTAAAAACCAGAGAATGCGTAACTTAAAATTCACGGTGCATAATAGATAAATAATGTTACCTACACTACCTAAATTTTAGTATCGCGCAAAAGACTACAAAAAATGTTGTATGGGAGCTCTCCTTAAATATAATTTTAATTTAATTTTTCATTTATAAAGTGAATATACAACTAAATATTCTGTGGATATTATAAGTGTCATATCAATACGGCAAAAAAATCGCGTTTGTTTTATGGAAACCCCCTAAAATATTTATTTTATTCTGTTTTTAGTATTTTTAGTGGCAACAGAAATACATCATCTGTGATCAACTGTTCAGGGTTCATTTCGGTTCATGAGACACAGCCCGGTGATAAACAGACAGACAGACGGAAAGTGGAGTTTTAGTAATAGGTTAACGTTTTTACCCTCAGGTTACAGAACCCAAAAAAATATTTCCTATGTTCCTTGAGAACGATTACCAATTTCATAGAAGGTCATTGTATTTCATCTATCATTTTTTTAAGATTTTCCCTAATTTGGAGAATGTTTTTACGGAAAAAAATCTAGTAATAAATTTCGGAAAGTGTACCTAACTACTTACTAATAATTGGGATATGTGATCTCAGTAAAAATCAAAACAGCAACATTACCAACCATTACAATATTCTTCGCCGCATTCAGAACAAGAAACAATTCTTGTTTCAGTCACACCCGATCGGTTCTTAGTTTTCCTTATCATGTTGTTTTTCGCCAATTCTCTTTTTTCTCTGGCCTTAGTTTTTAATTCAGCTTTACCCAGTTCTATTAACCTAAAAGTTATTTAATTTGAGCGATTACTGAATTTGACCATACATTTAGCTACTTATAGCTATCAATTACTTACCTGTTATAATATTCTTCATCAAGCTTAGATTTAGGTCTAATGGATGTAAGCATTTTCCATTCAATAGGCACAATACATAGTTCTTCAAACTTCAGGCCTCGCATCTCTACGGGAATGGGGTCCATGAATGTGAAATGTTTCTCTTCATAACCGCGCGTTCCCAACTTTTCATAAGCGCGTATTTCCTTTTTAGGCGTTTTAGTCTTGTGATCTTCCGCTCTATCTTTTATTTTAATATCGTCTGCGCGTACCTATTGTGTAAATTTATTTATGTTTTGCTATTTCATCACAAAATAATTTTGATAACAAGAATTACCTTCTCTGGTCTCGTCTTAAAGTCGGGCACTTTATCCAAAACCGCTCTGTATTCCTCGGCACTATTAATCACAGTTTTAGACAAATCCAGCATAGGAGCTTCATCTTTCTTTTTATCAAAGAAATCGTCCAATTTAGACATTTTATTGTTCCTAGACTTGTACCAATACGCATGTTGCTGCTACTATATCGACGTAACATTTTGGCTCATTCCATAGAAACAGTTTAATCAATATCCCTACTAACCTATTTTCTCTTCTTATTGGATTGCACTACTAGCTAACTGTGATTCACAAGGCAGTGTTAAATTGTTAAGAACTATATGAAATCTATTTACATAAGTCTTCAGTAAGCCATTCGTTAATATTTAGCGTTGATTATATCTTGGTCTTTATTACGATCCATATAATCCTTTTTTGCAAAATTTAATTGGTCTATAATTTTCTTTCGATTTTCTATAATATTTCTTTCGTTAACATCATCTAACCACAGTTTTCTATTTCCGTATTTGTCGTTAATAAATTTTTGGGACAAGGTCATCCTTTTTGTAGGAGACCGCTTTGGGGATTTTCTATTTTCAACGATTTCGGCATTTGCCGTACCTATATGAGTAAATTCTAAAGCTATACTACTTGTCGCTTCACTTGCACTATTTAATTTAGATACTTCATTATTAGGTTGTTTTGTTTTCCAATATGATTGACTCAGTGAATTACGTTGCTTCAGGTTGTTATCAGAATTCTTATCAGATCTTGTTGGCGGACTTGGAGAACGACTGTCCTCACTCGATTGTGATAAATATTGCCGTGCTTGGGATCGGTATTTTTGTCGCATTTTCCTTTTTTGACTGTAGAATGGATCTTTTTCACTTTGTTTTTTATATTGTGCAGCGGGCCTGTTGACACCCCATTTAGGTCTACTTTCAATCTCTTTTTTAAAACGTTCTTCTGAACGAAAACGTCTGTCCTTTTTTAAGGTATTGTGATGACTTTCATGAGGTGCATTTTCATCAATATTTGGATAATCTTTGTCGTAATTTCTCTCAATAGTATCAAAAGTTTTATCTGTTGTGGTTTTGCCAAAAATTGAATCCGTTTGTGTTGCAACTTCTTTGGTTTTTATTAGAACATTGGCCACTCGATATTTCCGTGGAGTCAAAACTTTTCCAGAATCCGATAGTTCACTTAAATTGTTCAGCGAATTTAATGATACGCTGCACAAGCTATTTGATATGTTTTGTGGAACTATAACTGCTAATTGCAAACTACTTGATTGTCCACTTATTATTTCACCGTGACCATTTATTCCTATTGGTACGATATTGTATTGGTTATCGGTTAATGTAAGAGGAGGTACGCTATGAATAAATAAATTTAAATTATTTGGCCCTGCTGATCTCGGCGAATTGAATTCTGTTGTGTGTATAGAGCCGCAATCTTTCTTTTGACTTTTTGCGGAATGAACATCATAAGTTCTATTAGTTTTGGTAGGAGTAACTGATTCAGTTACTTCTGTTAAATCATTGGATTCATTCATATCTGGTATTGATTTGTTTTTTTCTATTATAATGTTTGAGTGAACGGTTTGTCGGTGACTAGTAAACCTTTTCTCTTTTTCTTGCCTTGCTTTTCGTTCTGCATCCTCAAGTGCTTTCTTTAGTGTTTCTAACTTTTTTTGTTCGAGCAACTGCTTCTGTTCACTTTTTCTTCGTTCTTCTTCTAGTCTTTGCCTATCCTCTTCTTGTTGACGTTTTATTCTCAATTCTTCCAGGCGTTCCTCTCTAAGTTTTCTTTCTTTTTCTTCTTGTCTCTGTCTTTCACGATCTTCTAATTGGCTTAAAATCGCAGATTGTAATTCTAACGCTTTCATGCGTTTATTTTCTCTTTGAGCTTTTATTTCGGGTTCAAGAGGTACATTTTGACCTCTCAGAAATGTCCTGTAACAATTGTTTTATGTTAAATAATGTATTTGTAAATGATACATAAGTGGCTATCTACATTTATGTACCTACATAGGCACTTCATAGTTTTCTTGTTATTTTTTTTAATCAATACTACATCTTATTTACCTGCTCTCATCGCTGCCGTTAGAGGAAGATCTGTCACAATCGAAGCCTGAATTGGTGGAACTCCTTTGATCAATGACTAGAACTTCCGCCGAGTTTTCTATCATGTTAAGACCACGTTCGACCCAAGAAGGCGTACCTTTCTTCTGATTTGGCATCTGAAACAATAATGAAATAATTTTATGTTGATATATAAAACCATAACTGTGAAACATATGGGTTCGGCAATTACGAATTATATTTCTTTAGTTTAAAATTTTATATTTTAAATTACCACTATGTAAAGAGAAGACATAACCAGGGTAATACAAGTCTAATGTTGAACTGTTGTAGAAAATATCAGATTAGAAGTACTTCGTTTACAAATAGGTAGCTATTACTACCCGAATTACTGCTTTTGTGTTCTCTAGCAAGTTTGTGTTAGTAGGTCATAGTATTTAACCATTATACCACCTTCCGCTAGCCTAAGTAGGTTTACTCGGGTGATCGATCTTCAATGTTCGGATTTTCAAGTAAATATGAATTGATGTTGTATTTGTTAATCTAAAGATCGTGGAAGGGTTTACCTGACACGTGCAGATTAAGTTGATAGCTTTTTTGGTAATGAGGCTTAGTTCATAAGTAATGAGGTCATCTCATCGTCCATAATCATGCGATTAGGGTGAGCGTTGCATAACTTGTGGGTATGCCCACAGAACGTAGAAATAGGTATAACAGTCACCACTTTAGCGTCGCTCATGTCGTTTCTAATAACTAAGTTTTCTAAAATGCATTGCTGTTTTAGATAAAAAAAGTTTTATTTCTTGTCACCTCTAGGGAGCGTTTGAAGTTGCAATAATTATGATATTATACTCCGGTTGTCCGAAATATGTATAAATAGGTAATATAACATTAGCAACTTTTGTAGTAAGTCTGCAGTCGTTCCGTTAATATATCGGCAATCTGTATAATTTAGCATTCTATACAATACCTAGGCAATGTATAGAATTCTAAAAACGTCAAGGTAATATATGAAATATTTTTCATTTTATACTTGTCTAGGTATTATATATAATGCCGAATGCGCAGTCGGCAATGTGTGTAAGAAAAGATAGGGCTTCGACTTTTCCTTGTTATATTTATCTATTAACTATCTGTGTGGCTAGCGCTTCGCTGGCCGCTGCCGCGGCACGCTCGCTTTGGTCGCTCGGCTCGCGCTAAGTTTAGGTCACAACACTAACTTGGCTAACCCACTGTGATTTGGTCAAACCTAGATTGGGCTGTAATGAATTCGATGAGAATTATGAAATCCATGCATCATTTTATTTGCAACTGGGTCTAAGTCGCGGCATGAAACTCTAGCGCTGATCGTTATAGCGCAGAAGTAAAAAATAAGATGTCTTGGGGGAAAACGAGGTGCGCGGGTGGGCTTGCGTTGCACCGATTGGCTCTCCAGTAGTACCCATGTGCAGTTATCCCCTCCGCATTTTTTCAGCGCTAGAGTTACGTGCCGTGACCTGTAGACTAGGTTAGGATAAATACAGGCTAAATCTGTTTATTTTACACATTCCCGGTGAGCCAGCAAGTATTCTATAATATCCATAGGAATTGTATATATTACCTACGCAAAGTATATAATGGAAAATAATATTTATAATATTCCATACAATGCCTAGACGCCCCAGGCATTCCATACATTTCCTAGGTATTGTATAGAATACCTGCATTATACACATTGTCGGTGACATATACATGTTTTAATTAAAGGGAATGGAATCTTACAGAGGCCAACATAACCTTTTACGTTCATGAGAACAAGTGTATAACAGAAAAACTAACACACAACAGCAGTAGAACTCCAGCAGAACATATGGGCGCTCGTCTCTTCCACCTCCAGGCAGGCTCTGCACAGAGGGCTGTCAAAAATACCTATGTTTGCATGTTAGAATTATTTATCTGTTACCTGAGGCAAGCGTTCAGTGGGCGCGGTGGGCTCCCAGAGGCGGCCAGTGGCGACTCCGCGGTCACCCCATCGCGGCCGGCCCTCTTCGGCCGTGGAGCCGCGGGGGCTCCGGGCTGACCATACTCCGTCGGTCGTCCCCGATTTATCCCCACACGACATTCGATTTCTAAACGTAAACAAAAATTTGAAAATTGTAATAAATAGGAGAAAATGGGTATCTACACACTCAATAAAAAGAAAATTGTTTGTGTGGTTAGGTTATTTTTAAAATGTATAAAAAAAAATCACTTATACAAAAAAAATATCACATCAATTAATTTTAGCAAATCTAAATAGATTTGCTAAAAAGGATGTAAGTAAATACTTACTTACATCCTTTTCCTAAGTAAAGGCTTTTTCCGTATTATTGATACAAAATATTATGTTACTCATTACACATTAATTTGTCCTAAATTATCTGGTAAATATGTCTGTCGAGTTTAAAGAATCAAGTACCTAGGTACCTACTTAACAAGGCAACTACATATTACAGTATTTATATTGACCGAATCTGATAATGTATTAATGAGTAGGTACTAGTGAAATTTCTCTTAAGACTTAATTTTGAATTTAGTACTAACAGTCACGGCATATTAACTAGTTTGAACAAACTGGACCATAGAATAAAAGTACTCCTAGCGGAGAACTGGACTCACCTGTTTTCCTTCCCTTCTTGTTCCCAGGCCACAACAGGGTTGTGGTCATTACTGATTTCATGTAGAACACTATTTATATTTTTATGATTCACTGTTTCACTGCCATATCCCGACGTGTCACCTTCGCAGTCCTCATCGTAAAAAGCAAATCTTTTAGCACTGGGAATATTGCGATTTAATATATTAGATCTTCGGTCTTCTTTAGTAAGCGTTCTCTCTGAATCAACGTGATGGATGGGTGGTAAACTTGGACTTCTCTGACGTTGTATGGGTTCTTGATATTCGTATGATGATTGATTATGCAGCTCTAGGGTACTGGCGAACTGGTTACGCACTTGCAAACGATTCGTATACCTCTCCCCTGCGCCCCACGGCAAATAAAGATGTGACATCTCCTCTGAAAACAAAAGATATTAAGTCATTGGATTGTAAGTTAAGATTTTTGTTCACAGAAATATTCTGCGGTTACCTTCCATGACAACAGTCGACGAAGAATTGACTACTAATACGTAAAGAAAAAAAAATAAAGAAGTTCCCCTAAAAGGGGTTTCGAGTTTTATCGATATCATGCAAGGAAAGGGATAGTCATTTATATGAGCTGTAATCGACTGTCCATTATGAGGTTAAATAACGTTTGCAATTGAAAAGTATCTACCTACTTAAAATATCGTTTTCAGCACATAAAATATCGAGCCTACTACGGAGCGGCACGCTAGTTAAATAATAATGCTGATAGGGCGTGCTAATGATGTCGTATTATTGCAGTGTTATGGCATTACCTCAAAACTAGGGGTTGAGTTAGTATGGGGTTAAATTAATAATGTCCCTAACTCACACAATGAAATACCGTTTATTAAAAGTTTTACGTCATTCAGTTTGAATTCTTTTACGATGCATTCAGTCCTACCTACCAGAGTTAGAACACTTTATTTACGGACCGTGAAATTTACTATAATCGATTGAATTGCTTCAGAAATTTTAGATTCGTAATTGGTGTCACTTGACTGCAGTCATTATGACTTTCCTGCGCTCGAAAATACTCTTATAGCGAATCGAAAGTTTATAAATTATGTATGTGCTTGGTAAGTAAGAACGTAAAAATGCTCATAGATACAATCGTTGAAACAATTAATTATTTTCTTTACGTAAGAGTGTTGTCGTAGGTGTGTTTAAAGAAGCCGATCCGCTTTAGTTAGCCTACTTTTAGAAAATCTTTAACGAGACGCAAATTACTACCTATATATTTCTTTATGTTGGTAGGTAGCCAGTAGCCACCTTGTCCGAGAATAGTTTTTTTAACCCCGCGTTCCGAGATATTGATCTCAGGGTAGGTAACTCTTATTAGCCGAGTGCCTGCCTACTTCTATTGTCCAAGCCAAGAGTGCAATAAATATAATTACATAAGTTATTTGTCGCGTGCCTCATAGTGATAAGTATAAACTTCGTTTTATTTTTGCATGATCGAAGCTCTTGAAGTCAATTTCGAAAAAAGTGGGTCTATTGTAGGTTTTTCACTTCTTCGTCGTGTAGGAACTGGGATATACACTAACTAATGATTTTCATTGAAATGGATCTCCAGAAGTAGTTATTTATTGTCACCAGGATTTATCTTGAAAATAGTACGATACACGCACCTATTAAAGAGTGTCGAGTGTGTTTAGTTAGTATCATTGGTTCTTTGTGCGTGTAGCTAGCAGGTTTGTCTGAAATGGATCTCGGATCAAATAAAAACTTTTTCTTTTATCTACGGTATGGATGGACAATATTTTGCTATCACCGCCCCGCCACGCTCTCTTGCACACAGGTTGTTTCAACGAGAGCATAATATTTAGTTTTATTATTTAACGCTACGATAACTTACAATACTGCGATACAGCTGGTGGATATCCGTTGTTACTTTTGAATTGCTAATTACCAACCTGCTCGCGGAAAATGAAAATGTTAAAAAAATATTTTCGCTTTCAAGGGTATCTAAAAGGCATAAACATCTGATATATTTAGTTGTATTTTATTAACAATTTTATTGGGTTGATAGAGTTTTGAGTTTCTATTATACACACAGAGGCCAAAAAGCTAAGTACTGTAACGTCCGTTACGTTACAGCCTCCTTGTTTGGGTAAACTCTTTGTTCATGTAATGGCTGCGGCGATCTACCCTGAAGGGATAGATCCTGGGGGCGTAGTTTTATCAAATGTAAAACAACTTATATGTTTTACTCTTTTATTAGAAATCAGGCGAATATAATAATTGAGCTTAATCTATCAACGTATGGTTTGCCTGAAGTCTATCTGCTGGAACCTTCTATCAAACGACAGAGGATTCCCAATTTCAAATATTTAAAAGTCATGACATTACCTTTTTAATATAACTGCTAGCCGCAGGCATTACATGAACTAAGAGTTTACCCAAACATGGAGGATGTAACGTAAATGACGTTACAGTACCTATTAAAGGTTACTCCAAAAAAAAACATTATAGTACACATACCCATAACACAAGCCTTACAGTGCTTACTTTGTGGCTAGGCTAATTAGTGTGAGTGTAAAAAAACTTCACCAAAACACCGTTACATTTTGCCTCGGCCGGAGTGTGGTGTTTAGGGTTAGGTTACCTACCTAGAGGGTGTTTAAGTTTAGCGGAACTGTTTTAATACATCCGCTCTGTTTGTCTGTCTGTCACAGAACTCTAACCCTTGAATGGAAAATGGACACATTTAAATAAATGCTGTGGAAATTCGAATGTAGACATTTGAATTTTAGTTCGCGTTGGAATAGTGGCCACAGCAAGTTTGTGAAAACGTAGGCCAACGCGCTTGGTTCTCTCAAGGAAAGAAGGTAGGATATGGGAAAATAATAATAAGCGAGAACACTCGCCGTTGTAATATAAGATTAAAAAACGCTTAATTAACTAATAAGACTCGAGATGTTCAGTCCCCTCCATATTTTATTGCCAATGATCCGGGTCGCGCGCCGCTGTAACATAATATGTATCTAAAGCATCGAGTAAGTACTTGGTGGAACCGTCTCATTCCAAGAGGTGCGAGGCCATCAATATTCCAGACAGGATCCGCGCTTGTGTTTTATACAACAAGCACAGTTGCTCAAGTCAGGCGTGATCGCAGTCTGAAGATATTTTGGAGGGGGTCACCAAACTTCCGGTTTTTATTTTATTTATTTCCTCCTTTATTATTTATATTGGTTTACGATTATTCGTGCATTTCCGCGCTTTTTACAAGTCACTATGGTGCGAAACACTTGGATTTTTGGTATCGTTGCAAGATTTTTAGGTTTGGTAGACTCGCTGTAGGTAAGTCCAAATTGGTTTTAAAAACACTTTATTTAATTTTTCATAAAATAAGCTAACGCTCTTTTTTCCATATTAATCAAAGTAATTACCCATGCAATCAATGCATTTTTGCCAACACAGTGGTAGCTTAATGATGCCCTTCTTGTAAAAGTCTGCTGAACGGGAGATAAAAAATTCTTCAAAGGCATTTTGAACTGCTTGGCCAGCAAGGTCTGGTGAGTGCGGTGGATGACGGAGAATTTTCAACCCCACCTCTTGTAACATGCTGTGCCTGTGCAGTATGAGGTCGCGCGTTGTCGTACAGGAGCAGTGGAGCCTTCCGATACCATTTTTCCAACCACTGGCTAATGTTTGTGAGATGTGCTTGTAACTTTTCAGAAGCAATTTTTGGATCCGTCCGAGCATAGATCTGTATAAGAATAGTTAAGGTACATTTCATTAAAGAATTCGTTCGCGACTTTACTCAGAGGTATCTCTTAGTTAGACTATTTCTTTTGAGTTTTTTTTTGTATGTTGGACGTAATGACAAAAGTAAGTGTAGTGCCTTATTTCTTGAGTTACATAAAAAAATTCTTTAGTGTTGCGATGACTAAAAAATTTGTTTTGGCGAGCTGCACTTTTATCTGCGACTTACAACAATTTGATTGAAAACTGTTATGTAAAAGATTATAGATACCTATAGCACACCTATGTCAGCTATACTATAAAGGGAGTTAATTCAAAAGCTAGATCTTAGATTTCGAATGGTTGAATAAAAAAATTGTCAAATACAAAATCATCATCATGGAACGGAATGGATGGAATAGGGAGATTGGGCCATGACCCACCACGCGGGCCCAGTGCGGATTGGTGGGTGCTAACGACTGCAGATGCAGCCGGGACCAGCGGCTTAACCTGCCTTTCAAAGCACGGGCTCCAGATAGTAAATTTTTGGTGACCCATCCAATGACTGATCCCTGCGAAAGTTGCTTAACTTCAACGATCGCCGCCGAACGCGCTAACCACTTGCGCCATCGAGATCCTCAAAATACAAAATGTCGTACTGTAGGTAAATCAATAACTCGAACTGTACTACTGGCCTTTGGTCGTCATGGTTTTGGAAACGAAAAACTTAAACGGGAAAAAAGAACACACCAATCGGCCCTAAAGACGTAGGTAGATATTTTCATTATTATTGCTAGAAATATTTTGGTTTGTGTTCTCTCAAATCGCGGTCCCCCGAATTGACCATGTTCGGCTCTCAGTGCTCGCAAGAAGCAGTAATTGAGCTTGGGATTTCAAGAGATTGTGATCCCTGTTAAACAGTGGCTAGTTAGAAGTCTAGGATTTAAAGCACTGTAGTGCTTTAATGTCTAGACTTTCGGCTGGTCTTTGGGTACCTGTTGACACGCAAGTATTGGTCTCATAATCTCTCTACCATGCCATAACGCTCCAGTAGTTCGAAGAGACTGTTTTTGAGGAATAAGGCAGTTTTTATAGAAAAGTCATATTGAACTTGGTCATATCGTTGAGGGGAGCGTATGGAAGCCGTCATCAGAGCAGGGCGAGGGGCATCAGCCCATTACAAAGACGATCTACCATCTTTGTGTGTTCTAATACACAAAGAGCACAGACTTAGATACTACGTAGCGGAAATGTCTTTGTAATTATCGACAATTCTCATAGCATGTCTCTGAACCGAGTCAAAAAGAGCAAGCGTCCCAGGTTCTCTATCCCAAAGATGGCAGCACAGTACTGGACGTCAACTCGACCTTTTCTTCTAAGTGACTGAAGTAACTACGGAATTGGACATTGCTAGAGATATTGATACTTATCAGGAATCCTGATGTTCGTGGAGAGAGAATGAGACGTATTCTGGAATTGAGTGTCCACAACAAAGATGGCTTTTTTCCGGTGAACTCGCATCAGTACTTCGTGACTTGATGGAGTCGAATTAGGCTAACTAATTTTAAAGTCAGTAGATGATTAGTGATTAGGGTAGGTTTTCTCGAATTGAGACAAGTGTTTCCGTAATGATGTGTTTCGGGGGAAAAAATACTTTAAAAATGCAGGTCACTTTGTGATGATGTTAAGGAGTCTTCTTATACATTCAAATGCGGATTGAAACGATATTGACATTCAGAGAAAACATTTTTTTATAAAAAGTCCATTCGGTTCACGCGTCAGGC